GTTACAAATTTGAATTAGAGCGTATTTGCCCACAAATAGCTCCACTTCTCATTATTTTTCTCTCTTCTGTCTGTTTCAATCTATAGCAATAAATTGTACTAATACGGGTTGTGGAGTCTCCCGGTGCACTCTACAATGAAGGCACATCCTTTGAAAATCAAGAGCAAATCCTTGCACTTAATGGATTGTAGTGTCTGTATATTGCAGGGGAAAGAAATAGCTGCCCTCAAAAGGATGAGCAACAACACCAATATTGCCCAAACTAAAATTCTGGGATCCAGGGAAAACTGTTTCAGAAACAGGAAACAGTCCAGCATGGTGGTTAGCATCTCAACCTGAATGGAAGCCAGTCACAAGCTGAGGATAGCCCAGATACTACAAAAGATGTTTGGGCCCTAAAAGAAAGCAAAGAACCATGAAAACATACATTATAATTTTTTTTTCTGTAGAAGATAAATACAATCTGGCAAAAATACAAATGCATATTTTAAATGCCTGATTCTCAAAAAAAAAGTTAGCCCCCAACCCACTTCTCAGAAGGTTTACACAGTCAATATTAAACTACTGTGCAGAAAAGCTGAAGATATTGATAGCTGGTAATGCAAACGAGATTGCAGTTAATTGTTAACATCTCCTGGGCTACACTTCCTACGTCCCTGCGCAGATGATGAATAAAATTATTTACCTATTCAAGTAATGAGAGCTATGCATTTTGATATCCACATACACTGTAACTCAGACCTCCTCTGAGATCCCTACCTGTAATTAGGAACAGATGTAGGATCTTGTTCTTGAATTGCTAAAAACAAATTTCAGCCCTGCTATGATATATGATTTAGTGGCACAGCTCATGGTAAGAATGCTTCTGCCAAAGGACCCTCCTCAGGGCACCGGACCTCATCAGCCACCCTTGGCACAACAACCCTTCTGGAGCGTCCCCACACATTTCACACTGCCTTTCCATTGCTGACATGGGACACTTGCTAAAACACCCCCAGGTGACAAGGCTAGTGTAGAGCAGGAAAGTGACAAGCAACATTTATCTGGCCTCATCTCTGATGAAGAAAACCATAGGTCTATTCATTTGAAGCCCTGGTAATTCTGTAACACATACAGACTTATTCATGGTGTAGTCATTTAAAATTAAGCATATACAATATTATGTGCTTTCAGCAACAACTCTCACAGCTCAGCACATACGGCTGGGGAATACTCTTCAAATTACGTCATGGGGGAAACTCATGATGACATTCATTTTATTCTCCAAATGCCATGCTAGCACAGGAAAACATGCCTATTGCAAGCAGCCAAGTTTCTTTTCATCAGCTATTTTAACAGCTGGCTGAAATAACCCAGGAGGAATAGGACAGCTCATTTTCTTGCTCTGGCATGTGGGTACCAATCCCAAAGTCTGGCAGAGAAGATTGAAAGCTGTGGAGAATTCACTGTCTAAAGATGCAGCAGGGTGACCTAGTCAGATGCATTGCTTGGGCTACATGTCCCAGCCCTGTGGCAAATTCTTCCAGCAATAGTAAGGCACCCAGGATGCGTAGCAGGCCCAACACATTTACAGCATCAGGCCTGAAGAGGTTAAAAGGAGAGGAGAGGGACAAGTGAAGCTGCCTTCTTTCATATTCCTTCTTGACTACTAAATGTCCCTCCTGTGAATTAGACTGATCAGGCAGAGTTTATAACCCCACCCCCGGCTCCTGGCTTAGGTGATTAAAAGGATGTCTTGCCAAAAGAAAGTTGCAGAATAGCTGCAACCCCTCAGGCCCGTAAAAGACAGACAGAAATCTGTATTTACTGAGGTCATCTCAGTACAAGAAAGTTTCACCGGTTTCATTTGCATCTGACTGAAACAATTCAAGTTAAACTGATGCGAATGCCTTCATACATCTTTATTTGAAGATGTTAAATGGAAGTTTACTTGATTTCAAAGCTAATCTACATCTAAAAGAAGCGGCCACATGAAATAAGACTGCCCACAACACATTTTGCATTGGTTTAACTAAGCAGGTTTATCAGTCATCTCAGTGCAACTCCCTCATGTATACAAGGTCTGGAAATACATTCACTCTCCAGCATTACTCTGCTTCATGCTGGGAGAATGTGCAGCTGGAAGGGGCTCAGGGGAACCGCAATGACTAGAAATAAAAGGATTGTGGGGGGAATCATAGCTGGTGTGCTCACGGGCCCTCTATGGACATTGCCTAAATTAGAGTAATTAATATAAGGGAATGTGTCTGTGTTCCTCGATAGTTTATAAATGTTACAAAAAGAGAAACGTTTTATATGTCCCCTGATGGATTTTAAATGTTAATAAATGATGTGCAGGGAGGTATTTTACATCTCTCCATTTAACAGTGAGCTGACAGCTGCAATTACAGGCCAGCCTCTGGCCCAGCAATTCTTACAGGAACCTGAGGCATAAATGGAGTAGCTTTCTTCCAGAATAACAAAGTGCATCAGGATGCTGGCTCAGCATTTCAACACCCAAACAAAAGCCAAGGTGAGACATTTTTGACACCCTGGAAACTCCCTTTCTCTGTGACATGCACTTGCCAGTCATTGCTTCCCCTGCCAGCAGAGACCCAGAGCTTTGCTCCCTGTGGCAGCCCTTCACATCACTGGAATGGGAGAATTAATGGAGCAATCAGTTACTTACTATGGTGCTCCTCCGCTGCGAGGCAGACAAAGATGTGGACTGTACCTGGCGCATTCAGGGCAGCACAGGAAGAAAGCGGTATTGCATGCTTCACTGTGTGCACTTTCAACCTGTTTTCGGTCAGAAACCTACTAACTCTGAATCACTGCAGCATTCTTTCCAGTCCCCGGTTTCTTCACAGCACTAGGAAATCTGTGTCTGCACACTTACTTCACCAGCACAGACAGCCTATCCCTTCAAAAAGTAGCAAAGGGACTGCTCAGTAATGTCTGTCCCAGCAGAAGGCCCCACTAGGTTTCAGTGTGCCCTAGCCACTGCCCTTCCCACGTCTTCTGCCCAATGCTCAGTAAAACCGAGCCTCTTTGAAATTTAGGAAAGCTTGAAGCAGTATTTCAGTTGTGTACGTTTCAGGTTGCAACCTGTGTCACAAAGTAACAACAGAGACACCAGCATTTGCAACACTGTATTCCTGCTTGTCTCTTTTCAGCCTCCCCTTTTTCTTATTGGCTACAGTTCACTGCTGTTAGCGTCTGCCTCCATTAGCCTTATTCTCACTCCATGAGAATTGCACACCATTGACAAGAAAAGGCGATTCAGAACTGAATGAAACCAAGCAGAAACCAAGCAGAACTGTGAGTAACACCTTGCATTTTCCCAAAGGCAAAAGAGTGTGCTTTACAATTCTATTAAAATCCCACAAGATAGCTTTCATTTTGTTTTGCTTTTGTCACCGACAAGCTCTTACTTTCTTTTATTTTAGAATGGCATAAGACTACAGCTTAATATACCAGATTTATTTATAAAAACCCTACATTTCCCATCACACCTTTTTGTACGTGAAGGGTTGTAAAGTAACTGGTTTCTTTCATCCTCCCCTTTCTGTCACTGGACTGCACTGGCAAAAAAAAAAGGCAAGTTCAACTATTAGAGCGATAGTTTTCTTTCAATTACTGGTTCCAAAACTGCACCTCAGCAAAGCTAAGAAATTCTAGGTTGTAAAAACAAGATTTGGTTTCAGATTTGGAAAAGAACTAGGTTTATGCTTTCACTGTAGTCATGCTGTATGCAATTATAGCCAAACATCATTACATATCTATCACATATTCCCTCTGTTCTACACAAAGATTTCTCAATTGTGTCTTAGCAATGGGTCTTGTTTACTCTTTTTAAGGTCTAGGCCTTTAGTACACAATTTCTGGTACTGCTTTTCTTCAACAGCTATCTGTGGCTGGATATGCATTTCCTCCATTTTGCATTAGTTTGTATATAAATGTTTGTGATCGTCCTTCCATTCTTCAGAAATCTGCTGTTTATGATTGTGAATGGATTTCCAGAGCTTGTGGACATCAGGGACCACGTGTTAATAACCAGTTTATGTCATGTATCACATTCAGTTCATCCTCAATAGCATGTGTAACCACCTTCATTTAAGTAAAACAGTATCACTGCAGTTACAGTGGCCATTATTTAAGATAAAGCATGGCAGTAGCCTATTGTACTGGTCTATCAGATTATAATAAATGCCTGCTAATTAATCCAAGCTAATAAATGGGGGTAGAAGCAGCAGTGCCATATGGAACAATAGCTGTAGGTGCCGAAACACCGCTTGGCAGCCGAAAGCCACAAGATTACGGTAAAGCATTTCCAGTGAGACACCCCACCTAGGGCAGAGCGAGGTAGGAGAGGCTGCAGCACTAGGAAGGACACCTGCCTGCCCTGGCTCCTTCCAAAGCCAAATCCCTCGGGTGCTGGATGTTACCCTTCACAGAACTCCCCCGCACAGTCAGACAAGCCTCTCAGAAGAAACACTCACAGCCTCTGCTGCTTTCCTCCCCCTAATGCAAAGGGGAAAAACAGTACTGTGCACACCTCCTTGAAAGATTGTCAGTCCCTGCAGCTAGGAGGTGAGGTAATATGATAAGGAAGGCCAACAGCAGTTCAACTGAGAGCACTAGATCTTCTTAGCCCTCATTATTGTGCGGACCCATCTAACTGGCTGCTGTTCTACTGCCAGCTACAGCCAATATTCAAGCCCAACAAACAGATTACAAATCCCCTCTCAGCCGCAATCTATTCTTTGTGTTATACCACCTCAGTGACAATCACAGAATACACCCTAAAAGAGTCTCACTCTGAGGCAATCAAATTAAAGTCATTCAGCAATGGCTTGTTTGTAGAAACATCAACATTGTACCCGCCTTGTATCAGAAAGAGTGATATTTTTCTACAGGGAAAAAGTTATTTGCCACTGACTTGACTGATTTGGCAATTTCTCTGCTTATCAACATCTCACAATTCTTTCACATTTACAAAATATAGTAATAATACTTACCACCTTACGGGCTGCTGTGAGGAATAATTCTTTAGTTCTTCAGAAATGCTCAGAGATCCTCCAAAGCATCAATCTGGAAATAAAATTAGCATGATCATTAGCACATGTGGGGGATTTATTCTATTCATTGCCATTCTCCAATACACAAACAACTGCAATTGGGGTTAGGTGTTTGCTCCTCTGTGCTTGCACGACAGCATAAAACTCACCACGTTTTAGTACACCTCAGAGGTATCAGGAATCACGTTACTGCCATCGGCGTTTAATTTTTTTTTTTCTCTAAAACAATACCTAAGAATTTAATTTAAACATGGAAACCTCCCTAGACAAAGAAAGTTCATGGGTCTGTCAAAAACACAGAGATGCTATAAACCCATAATATGGAAGACAGAACAAGAGAATTTATACATTCACAAAGCAGTAGTACTAAATGCCTGATGAAGGTGACCTGTGCTGTTGCTTGGACACAACTATTTCTTTCCAGTGGCTACCAACAGAATCCACAGCAACGATGACCACTAGGCATGTCATTTAGATGCTTGAGACCAGGAAGTTAGCACAGACCTAAAAATAACAGAAATTACTAGCTCAATCCCACTTCAAACTGGACAGAGCGTCCCCACAGAGCTAAATGTCTCCATGTAAATGTATTCCCAAACTTTGCTCACCCTTGGAAATGAGCACATTTCAATTAAGGAGCATGGAGAGTCAATTTCCATGCCTGCCACAAGACTCAGTATGACCCTGAGAAAATAGAAGATGAGGGATTTTCTGGCACCCGAACTGCAGGTAGGGAGCCTGCATCCTCCTACCTGCAGCTTTAAACAAATTCCTTTCAATCCCTCTCTGTCCCTACAAAACGGAGATAGCATTTTGTCTCTCTCCCCATCTGCTGCCTGGTTAGTCTGGGAATTCTTGGGGACTACATCCATCTCTCCTAGGGTGTATAAACGGGGTGCTTAATGCAGATCTGAGCTGCTCTAGGCTCTAACAGAAAGCAAAACAAACACAGCAATGACACCTCAACTGTGGCAATTGTGAATCTACATGCTGCTCACACAGACAGAGAAAAGCAGTCCACTTTCATCCCCCAAGTACACAATTTGGAGTGCAGGTCTTTGTTGAGCAGGCCTCCAAGTTTAAAAGATGCCCTTCTGGGCCTCCATGTTTCTGGTCCCTCAGTAAGATCAATACATACATTCACCACAAGAAAATCAAGAGTAGAGAGGGGGCTAATTAAGCCCTCCTGCTCCACAGTTTTCGCCAGAAACTTGACTCAAAACAGGTTTGTAGTCCAAGAATTGAGTTCTTTGTTTTTAATGCATGCTTTATGCATTTCTAGGCTGCACCTAGATTAGAATTGGATGAGCCAAAGCAAATACACATGTGCACACGTAGACAGTGCTAGGTGCATTTTTCTGAGAGACAGGCAGAGAGTGAATGAGTTTGCTTTCCCAGTATTTCTGCATCTATAAGCAGGAAGGCTTGAAAACCTCGCAAAGAAAGTCTGTTCCCTTGAGAATTCTTGCCTCGCTCTCTGCAGCTTCAAGAAGCAATCTCTGGCTACCGTGCATGGGAATCCCAGGATTTTGGCACAGTTTTAACATCGCCATCATTAGAAACATTGATTTACTTTAATTACCACCTCGTACCCTGCACTGCCACATGCAGTCAGAATGTCAATTCTTTATCAATGTGTGCTGTTGACATGGAAACAGATCAGCTGAAATGGAAGCAAAAAGAAAAAAAAATGTGTTACTGCTCTAAGTCATACTTAGAAGCGGTAAATCTGTGTGTGCTACAACAGATTTAAATACTCAATAAACTACACAGATGAAATAAACAACTGTTTGGGGTGACAGTCGTTTCAGTTGTTTACATCATAGACTGCATTTAGAAAAGCTCCAGTGTTACTATGGTAACCACTTTTGCTTAAACGTAGTTGTGGACGCACTTTAGGTAGGCTCTAAATTAACTGCAGATGGAGGAACAGCGCTGGGGGGAACAGCCAGAGGAGCAGATACCCCCATCAGCCCTTCTCTCTGCCCCCTGCTCATTGTGCAGAGCAGGCACCCCAGCTCGCCCTGTCTGCACTCTCAGCAAGGACTTGCAGCAGCTGACGGGCTGCACCAGGTCAGTTTTAGAGATAAAATGATGAGAAGCTGCTTCTCATCCCCTCACAGCTCATAACACGGGCCAGAGCTGCTCGCTCGCTCCCTGCGGTCACTGGCTGGGTGGCACTGAGAAGAGGGGCCTGCAGCAGAGGCCTGCTGCACGTCTTTGGTTCTCCTTTTCAGGACCTCTCCCCACAAGAGAGCAGAGCTGCAGGAAGGTGAGTGTGCTGCATACACCTTCTGCCAAAATCTGTGAGTTGGAGCAGACGCTACCTCACTATTAACTTCACGGAGCTAAGAAACCATCCTAAAAGATGCAACACAGACCTTTGACCAGCACTACATTTCCACTAGAAAGATTAAATCGCTGTGCAGCTAAAGCTAGTTTCATAGTCATAGGGAACAAGGCCAGAGGGGCCACTGTGATCTGCTGTTCTTAATAGGGATTAAAGGAGCCTACGGTCTCTGGCACACCTGCTTTCCAACCTGAAAGTGAACAGCAGTGAGATGGAGATCACTGAGCAGAAAATGGAGGGAGAGGCTCCTCTGCCCTCTTGCCATGTGCCAGGGCAAGGGGTGGCAGGAGGAGCAGACACCAAGGACAACTTCTCTAAAGAGGATTGTGGAGGCGCTGGGAGCCAAAGGCTGTTCAAAGCCCATGGAGCCTGCAGCAGTGGGAGAGACATGCAAGTCCTGAACTGTAGGCAATGTGCCCCATGCTTCAACTGTGAGAAAACATCAATGAAAGGCGATTTTTTTTGTTGTTTCTTCCTTTTTCCACTTCTCACATATCCGCGTGATTACGTTCGATAACGATGCCCACCTCCCAAAAGGTCGTGCATCAATTAGCAAGGGAAGGAAGGACACACATCATTAATTACACACCAGTTTGCGAAATAAGAACATGGAATACAGCATAATGTTCTAAAAATAGCAGGAGGCTGCCTTGTTTAGGTCAAGTTTTATTTTAATTCCCTTAATAAAACATCTGATATTAAACAACGGAGCGGAAGACATGCCGCTGTTTAGCCTCAATGGGTGCTTCAGACAGATCTGCTGTGATTTAATCTGCATGGCAGAGTGCAAAGCTGTAGAATGTAAGTTTATGCGAGCGTGAGACATAATAGTTCTTTAAACTTATGCAGCTCTTACCAATTTAAATGATCCCAAGCTATGCTACAAACCATATACCCATGGGAACGCTTCTACCTGTACTGCTACCTTACATATGGGATTTGGATTTTGGCGAGATCCAGCATGTGATAGATTAAACCAAAACGCTGGTACAGATTCACGCAGTCAGAGGGAAGGAGAAAAGCTACACGCTGCCATGGGTATTCACAGACAGAGTCACGGTGAGTAAATTCTGCTCAAGTAGGGCTGAGGGAACAGAAAGGGATGAGAAAAGGACATGTGGTGCATGACTGTAGGTACAACCAGTCCACATCAGAAGTGGCCAGCGAGTGTTACAGCACAGTGTTCTGAGGCCATTAAAGCACGCACACTGGCAGTGTACATGCCTCTGGAATGAGAGACAGCCTCTGTCTGAAACTGCTTGTAGGCTAAGCAGAATAGACTGATGAAGCAGGCAGAAAAGCATCTTGCTTATAACCAATCTTCAATTAGGGAATAGTAACGTAAAGATCACACAGGAATGTTGCAGAAAAGAAGAAAACAACACCAGATGCCCTAAGCATAAATCAAATGCCTTACAAACACACGCAAAACCAAACCACCTTGTTCCTCCTCTGGAGTGGATTGTGGTTGCTGGGAAAATGTATTGCAGAGGGACAAAGGAAAAAATATAGTGGAATTATTAGTGCACGCTCTTACTCTTTTGAAGCATGCCCTATGGGCAACTCAGTTTCCAGTCAGAATGTACCAGATAATCATTTTCAAAGCCTCATCTGAAAACACAAGTGATGATCTTACCCTACACCAATGGCAATAAAGGCAGCAATCTTCCACCTATGCTAAACCAAAGGTACAATTTTCTTATGCCCCTAATACATCTGAGGAACAGATGCTCCTAAAAGCCACAGTCTTTTGATCCTATAAATTGAATGCTTTTCAGAATGTCACCCAGAATTCTCCCATCAATCCTAAGAAAACATAATCTAAAACACAAGATGATTTTGATTTTCCTCGTGACTTGGCAGATCAAGAGATAATTAGGTATGGAAAAAGAAGTGTTTTTGAGGATGAATGTACCTGCTGTAATCCTACCGCCAAGTGAATTAAGGTTTGCCTCCTGCAGTAAGGAGCATTCTAACTCAGCATCTGGAGGAAAGCTAAGACCTGCCTGATTTCAGAAGTCATCGGTGATCCTTCCTGTGAAACCAATGAACAGAAGGAAAGGGAAGAGAGGGAAAAATAGTAAAAGTCCTTCCTGTCTCCATCTGTGGTTATAAGCAATAGTAATAAAAGAATCCAGCAGCACCACACCAAAAAAAAAACCAAAACCAAAGGCGGGTGATTGCCTGTTCTTTTCTCCCCATTAAACCTAAATGATCCCTCTTATGGACCGGTCACATGAAGCAGCTTATTTTGTCAAGTGCTCTTCAGCCTAACCATGGCTCCCACCTCTGGAAGTGGAAGAATCCCATATGTCAAGTAAGCGAACACAGGTTATCCTTCTGCAAGGATAGCTCAATGCTGATTGAAAGTCTCATTTGTCAAGGGAAAGAACTGTTGTTTTTCTTTTCAAATTAACCTAGATGAAGAAAAAGATATTTGTCCAGATCTAAGAGCTTTTTCATTCCTCAAGCAGCTGCTAGTTTGAGAGAATTTTAAATGGTTGGCCTTTATGAAATGAATTGGTAATCACAGCCTTGTGCCTCACACTCCAGACTGAACGATTCAGGGGACTGGTAATAGGATAAAGCCTTTCACCTCGCCAGCTGTGGTTCAAATTCAGAATAATTCTTAACTTACTAAACACTGTCACTACATGATGGGCATTTGATTGTTATCGTACAATGAATCACGTGTTTTTCCATCATGGAAAAGTACTCATAGTGCAGATAATACACTAATGATTGTTAGTAATTAGCAGCACTCTCAGTAGTGACAGTAGGGGACCTGCAGAAGATTGCCCACATGTTCAGCCCTCGGAGGTTGCCATTTCAAGGCAGGGGTTAAGCCCTTCAGACAGTCACTGTGGCGATTCTTGTAGCTCTTTCCCACCTTGGGTGTGTTTTGCAGACGAACTGGGTTCAGCCTCCAGAGCTGTCAATCTACCACTTTTATTACGGCTAAATTACTTTTGTTTCAAGTGCTGGAGGCGACTTTGAATGCCGGGTCTAATTAGAATGTAATTGTCGGAAGATCTGAGCAACTGTGGCAGGTTTGGGTGGAGAATTTGGTGGCTTAGAGTATTTGTGCAAACAAATTTCACAAGCACAAAACCTGCAGCTGCTTCTCACAGTGGGCATTTGCTTAGGCAGTGCATAGAACTAACTGTCCAAGGCAGAGAAACAAAACTTTGAATTTCCACATGCAAACTGATAGACATGAAAAAGCCATCTGCCCAAATAGGCTGTTTCCTGGGTCAGGCACTTTTCATGATACCAGGATGGTTTGGTGCAAACAGCAGAAAAGGAGTTTAACCAGGAACAATTATATCTGTACAAATGGAACGAGGTACATTGAACTAAGTGAGAACCAATAGCAACAGAGAAGTATACATGTATATAAATAACCCTGTTCTCAAAATAATAATTTAAAAAAAAAAAGAACACAAAATAAATCTCATATATATATACATATGTAAATATATATATAAGAATACATCCTGCCATTTAACACTAGAAGCCTTATCTTTCCCTAGAGGAAAAATACTCATGAACAGTCTAGGAACTCCACACCCTGTTGCTGAATAGCATTTTTCCTCTACTTCCTTTGGGAACGCGCAGACCCTCGCCACTTCAACCCCTCTAACACAGCACAACCCAGAGATTTGCAGGGAAATCCTGAAGATCTGAGAGTGAACATTTAAAGGCCAGGGAGCTTCTGCTAGGAGACCCTGTGCTTCCCAGCTATCTCCTGAGGTCTACCTATCATAATGACAGCGTTACCTCTTTGTGCAGCTCCAGGGAGAGCTGTGCAAATATTGGATTATCTGGTTCAACGGCCAAACAAAAAACAATCATGGGTAGAAAAAAATTCAGTTGAATCTACTTGGAATAAAAGCTGAGGGGGTGGGGAGTGTGGCTAAGGGAAAAAAAAAAAGGAAGAAGAAAGGAGGAAGATGTTTGATTTTAATGTATTAAATCCTCTCCTCTACATTTTTGACATGAAAGGGAAAAAAAAAGGCCACACAAATTTAAATCATCGTTTAAAACCTTCCTTTTGCTCCATGTGATTTTTATTTGTTTTAGACTGCGCTAAATTTCATGTCACGCAAAACAGATCCGGTCTCCCTGAAAAATTTGTTTCCTTCAGCAAATCTACTGCTCAGTGTCACGTTGCCTTCACCCAGCTCTAGGAAGAATTGTACAGTCCGAAGTACAGAGCTCCAGTAACCAGAATTTTGCCTATAAGGAAAGAGACAAGTTTTCAAGCCAGAAAACTCATCTGCTTAGTCGTTACGCATCAAAAAATGTGACAGCCAATTTTTTTCCCCCACAAAGGGGAAAGAGGACCAAATACTATCTTCTGAAGGACAGACTACTACCCTCACTTACTCTCTGTACTGTACTTGCTGTGTTTTGTTCTCCTATAAACAAAACCACAGCCACAGTTCCTTACTCAGCTGATTTTTATTTTGCTCCCACAGCCGTGCCTGCGTGAGATGAAAGGCAGACAGATTTACACCAAGGGCAGTAGAGTCCATGAAATGCCATCAGCACATTCCCACAAGTCTATGTAATGTGTTCCTTAGCTTGGCTGGCAGTGGGTGCACCTGGAAACCCAAGTGGTTACTGGTTTCATATAGCTCTATCAGGACAGGCTGGGTTGGTAGTTGGCTCCTTTGCTTGCACAGAAGCAGATAAATTGGATTCAGGAGCTTCTGCTGCAGTACTGGCTTTGGTGAATACGAACAGATACTCTCTACTACATAAATGTATATAACAAAAATCAGGTTGAAATTTGCTCAAAATGACAAAAAAAGAAAAATACAAAGGTCCACAGAACTGCCGCTGGGAAATACGAACATTACTATTTTCCAGAGAAAATAGATACTTATGTATACATACCAGAATTGGAGCCAAATTTGCTCAGGATGATAAACGTTGTAAGAATTTGTAAGTCTTCATGAAAACCCAAATCATAAATTCATAAGCCAAAGCAACAGTAGACAGACAAAAGTCTGTTTAAACTTGTTTCTTCCGCACCTTTTCTACATGCAGAATAAGGCACTGGCCAATATTTATGCTATATTCTACAAACTATTGTCCACAAAAGAGTTTGCTTCCACGGATCACAAGCCTGATGACACCCCAGAAGCACAGCTAGAAGAGATAGAAAGCCCACTCAGAGTTTACCAGCAGCTTTGTCTCGGTAATGTTTGCATGGGAGAATGGCTAAAAGTAAAGCTGTGAAGAGGAACCTGACAGCCAACATGAAGAAGTTGGAAGACACATTGACAAAGCAGAACCAGGACTTCAAACAGTCGTAGAATAATATATATATATATTCAAAAAGAACTCCAGAAAGTAAAGGCAGAGGCTTGCAGGGGGAAGCAGAAACTTGATGGATTTTGAAAAGAGAATATCTAAAAAGGAATCAAAATGTGCAGGGGCTGGGAGTGCAAGTGAAGATCCAAAAGTAAACACACAAAAAAGGAAAATATAATTCTTGCTGGGGAATGGTGGATATTCTTTGACAGTGTAACAGCAACAAAAGATAAATTGATACATCCTTGCCTTCCATTCTAGGTGACTGTAAAATACCAGAGAAGAAAGCACACGAAAGTTACATGTGGAAAAAAGTCGATGTGAAGAAACAGGAAAAAAAGCTACTTAAATAATGAAAACGCAGAATCCTGTAAAGCAAATCTCTCTAATGCGTAAGATAAATGGTCTTCTCCAGGTGGCCACAGGATGAAAAAAAGCAGAAGTATTTGAGAACGGCCCCATTCTAGAGCCCAGGTTTACCTGGAGTCTAAGCCGACACTGGAGAAAGGGAGTGCTTCTCCTCATACTTGCTCTGGGCTCATGTAAAGGTCAGGGAACTATTGTTCCAGTCCAGTACACAGCCATCTTCTGGGATCAGGGAGCATGTATAAGTAAAAGGGCAGGAGAAACCCAGTCTTTGTCATCCTGCAAATACACAGCCATGCTGTGGGCAGTAGAGCTGCCCAGTCCCGTCAAAAAAAGCTCTAATATCAGTTGCAAAGGACTAAAAGAGTCCTTTACGTGTTGCACTCCTACACTAGACGTCATTCAGGGGTGCGATGTACAGCACCCGTGATTACAGGATGGGGATATAAATCTGCCCCAAGAGTACAAAGCTGCAGAAGAATACATCTACTAAGCTTGATTTAATAGCTCACGGCAGACACAAAGAGACACGTAATGGCAGATCTCTGTAAAGCTAATCCATGTTTGTAGCACATCTGACAGGGTATGTAACAGTTTTTAAATTCTGCATGTAGGGATCAGATTGCATGGACTCTGCCTCTAAGACATCATTACAACCTGCACATTCACACCTCACACGAGTTTCAGGAGACCTTGTTGCCTTCTCAGCCACGCTCAGCCAGAGTAGCACTTGTAAGACAGCGAACATCTGCTTCTCAGATACTCTGCTTACTCCAGCTGACAAACATGCTACATTGGCCCAGGTGTCCCACACAGCCCAGAAGCAACACCATGATGTCTCCTTCCCTCCGAACACGCACAGAGCAGGAAACTCTACCTTGCAGACAGGCCCTGGCAGGGTGTGATGGGCGGGGAGGGCTTGGCAGCTTCTCCTACTGACACACGGCCCTGCTGCATGCAGCACTCCTCATCTGCGTCAAAGGAAGGGCACACACACAACCTGAAAAGTCACAGAATACAGAACATCCTGAGTTGGAAAGGATCCATTAAGGATCATCAAGTCGTAAAATCGTTAAGGTTGGAAAGACCAGTAAGATCATGCACTCCAACCAATGCGAGCTGAAGGCCTCACCCCATTGCTTGGAGCTTCCCCCTAGAAGAGTGGGACTGCTTTGGGCTCCTGCCCCATAGCTGGCTTACAGGCTCCCCTCAGGGACCTGGGCCCTGCTTGGTGTGTGTCACCACCAGGACACCGCTGTTCCCATTCGAGTACCAGCAGTGTCCATGGTGAGGCGCTCCCCTTCACCTCAGGAGGGCACAGGCCTCCCTGCAGGGCCGCCTTTTGTCCCCGGGGCTGCTGCCTCCCTCACCTTTCATATTTAAGAGAACGGTGCCAGTGTTTGTACACAACACCTAGGATTAAAATAAAAAAAAAAGAAAGAAAGAAAAAAAAAAAAGGGCTTTGGGGGGGACATTCAAGCTTAATTATTAACCCGCGGGAGCGTTTTCCCCGCACCTTTCTGCTTCGTCACGCCTTCACCGCGCCGGGGGACAACATGGCCGCCCGGGGGGGAAGGAGGAGGGGAGGAGCGGGCGGGGAGCCCAGCCGGCCCTTCGCAGCGGGGCCCGCCTCGCCGCGGGGGGCGGCCACCCGGCGGCAACAGCTGCCCCGGCGGCTGCCGCTCCCCCGCGGAGCCGCCGTCAGCGCCCGCCCAGGCGCTGCGAGCCGGCGGGGGCTGCGGGAGGATGATGGAGGAGCCGCGCGTCGCCTCCAATTAGGATCAGCGCTCCCGCCGCCCCCGCG